GTGGCTTTGGCCTCGGTTTGTGCTGCTTGGCCTCCACGGAATGGAAGGCCGGGCCTGGCTGAGTACCTGGAGTTTGAAACAGCAGTTTTAAACTTTTCTTCCGATATTTGACTCTCTTGTTAGGGCCTGTAACAAATTTTTTAAAATACATTTTTCTTTTATATATTCATACGCATATGACTGGTGTGGTTTGGCAACAGTTTAGATGTAGTGAGGCAAGCATTTGAAAAGCAAAAACATACAGATCAATGGGCAAGTAATGATGAACAAGTTCACAGTCTCACATCCTAAAGTCAGGTCAAAGTCTGTGGCCTGAAAAAATCTGCCTGGGTTAAAGTGTCTCATATGTAGAGACTTGTGCTCTTATAGCACCTTCCAGTACCAGGAAGCTGGGGGGGACTGTTTACAAGGGCCTGTAGTGGCAGGACAGGGGGTAATGGGTTTGAATTGAAATTGGGGAGGTTTAGATTGGCTATCAGGAAGAAGTTCTTCCCAGAGAGGGTGCTGAGGCACTGGGACAGGTTGCCCAGAGAAGCTGTGGATGCCCCATCCCTGGAAGTGTCCAAGGCCAGGCTGGATGAGGCTTGGAGCAACCTGGTCTAGTGGAAGGTGTCCCTGCCCATGGCGGGGGGGTGGGAACTGGATCATGTTTAAGGTCCCTTCCAACCCAAACCATTCTAGCATTTGACAAACTCAGCATGTTTCTGCCAACAGCCATGAGTTCCTAAATGGTTTGAAACAGTGACTCATATCAAAAATTCATTTAAAAATAGTAGTTTCTGACTTCAGCATTGTTTAAAATTATTTTAAAAATTTATTTTCCACATTCAGGTATGGAGGCAGGTAGGACTCTACTTGAACTGAAATCTGTGGAAGCTGAAATTAAGTTTCCACTTTGGAGTGTTTTAGCATGTGTATATCCTCAGTAGAGGATGGTGATGGTAATGCCAGAAACAAGACATTTTTGATGCAAAACATTCAGTTGCACAGTTTCTGTCACCTTTTTTTTTTTTATCTCACATTTCTCCACTTCAGTCTTGTGGTTGATGTATAGTTTTTCAGTAGACTAGCTGAGGGAGGAAGGCAATTTTTTTGGTTAATACATTTGTAGAAGAAAGGGGATTGAAGGACCTGTTAACCATTTCACATTCTGTCATTTTTGCCATATAGCAAAATTCATTTTGCAGTGAAACCAAGGATCGTCAGCTTAGTGATGGCAAAACCATGTTACTAAAAATACCTAAAACCGCTTCAGGTCTTCTGGAATGTGTGAAGTTCAGGCAAAACCAGGTAGGGTCAGTGCTCAAATGCAGATCTGATTCATAGTTCTGTGTTTTAACTGTTGTGCTTGGCTCATAAACCATGAAACTGTTGGATTTTGCTGTAATTCAGTCTCAGGTAATGAAATGATAATTCTCACTCAGTTGATCTTGTAATGACAAAACCTCATTAGTATTTTCCAATTTTCCAGTGTTGACTCAAAATTACTTTGAAGTGCATTGTGCATATTTCTGTAGTTCACTTTTAGGGTGACAGTCTTCAAATACATGGGAGGCTGCTGCAAAGAGAACTAGAAGAATAATCTGTGCTCGGATTGGGAAGTAGTAGTTGGCATAAACTGCAATAAAAGGACTTGGGACATTGGGAAAACTGTATTCCACGTCTCCCTCATGCCTGCTTTTAGAGATTGCCTTAGCGAGGCTGGTGTTTCTGTCCCTGGAGATTATTATTTTCAGCAATGATACAGCTGTAGTTGGGCTTGTTTTGGGACAGAAGAAATAGATGGGGTCTCTTGAGGTTAATACCAGCTGGGTTTTTTACTACGAATCTGCACCTGCAAGTGAAGTAGTGCCCTGGCTCTTGTTTTTCCCCCTTTAAATGAACCAAGGAGATTGAAGTATTCTGACACAGTCACACGATGGGAAAGGCCAATTTACAACCATCCAGTTCAGGGCAAGCATCAACTGCAGCTTTTAAGCCAGGCTGCAAATGTAGAAATGGAAGCTTAGCCCTGTAGTGTTTTAAATTTCTTTTTGGCTTTAAAAAAAAAAGAAACACAGAAGAACAGTGAACTGGTTAAGAACCTAAGGGATCTTAGGTAGGACCTAAGGGGTCTATAGCATACAATGTTAGCACCACTCTGATATTTTAGTTGTAATGCTGTGTGCGGTTATGTGTATGGATTTGTTAATTTTTCAGGTTTTACACGTACGTGTCATCAGCCATTCAACTCTGTGTCTTATTTTGGAATGCCTCTAGTTCTGTGGAAGGAGACCTTGCTCAAATTAATATGTTCAGGAGCATACTAATACATTATGAGTTACTATGTTGAGTTCAGAGTACCTTAGTGCCCTCAGGTATTTACAGATCATTTTATATGTGCTGCTGTTAAAGTCCTGCTTTTGCTGTTCTCAGTTCAAACTGAACAGAAAGGTCCTAGCATGATCTTGGTGTTTTGCACTGCTGTCCTGACAGCAGTGGTTCTCCTGAATTGGGAGTTCATTATGAAACAAAGCCAAGAAGTTCCAGCTTTACAGTTTTCAAGCCAATATTAAGCTATTTGTGATGGCATCATCCAATTTTAATGAGTTAATCAGAAAAAAATAAATTGGAAAATGATTGAGTTTTCTGGATGTGCAAAACTGCAGCTGGTTGTCATTGGAAGAATCCGAGAACCCTTTTCTTTCTGAATGACTGTGTTAGATTGATTAGTATGAATGTATAAGGTCTTATTTTAAGTGACATTTAGACATAAGGGATATTAAAATCCTGAGTAAATTGAATATATTGGTTTAGAACCTCAAATTTCTGCTTATTTTTTAAGCCTCAAAGTACTAATCTGGGACATAGTTCTGAAGTAATCTCTTTTTGTCTGTATGCTGTATTTTTTGTAATCAATGTAACATTTTTGGGTTTTGACCTCTTTTGGAGAATAAATAAGTAAAATAAGGAGAAATTAAAGACCTGCTTTGTTTAAAATTTTAGATAGCTTTCCTTCTACTTCTTTTAAAGACCCCTCACCTCTTAGAGCAACTTGCCAAAAATGGGGATGTGCATTGATTTTTAGATGAGTATAGTAGCTTCTTTTTATTTTTCTGTGAAATATAAAGGCTTTTTATGTTAGTCATCGTACCATACATCACACTCCGTAAAAAACCCCAAAAAATACACTCCTCAGTGTCCACAAAATATATCTGCCTACTGACGCGTGCATTTGCCTGTCTTTGCACAGTGCGTACGTGCTGACATCACCAAATCGTCAAGAATTCAATTTCAGTGCTCTTCTAGTTGGTTTGTTTTCTTCAGATTCTCGCATGCTCACAATAGGAACTAATCCTCTGTTTCTTCAAACTCTGGGTTTATGTTTACACCACACGATAAGGAGTTCTGTTTCTAGGAACTTCTTAAAATGTCCCATGAGACACTTTATGAGTTACTTAGGCTCTTTGCCCTAAGTTCCCCATCTATAAGCAGTCTTGGCAGGTACGGGTTTGGATCCTCCCTTTACAAGCTCAGCCAGTGTATTACTGCGCTGATTTCTTAGGGCTCTGCATTCTGTGGGTGGAATGTGTTCTTTCTTGAGATACTGAAAGAATTTAGGGGTTTTATTGGCTTTTTTTTGAGTAAGTAGAAGAGTGTTGAGTAACTGAACAGAGAAATCCCTGTCTCTGGTTTCTGACCAAGTTTAAGGTGTTTCAGATGAGTTGCCATGTTTGCATGTACGTGGCTGAAACAGCAGAAGCTGTAACGGGCGAGCCTGTGGTTGGAGTGGTACGGTGTCACCGACGACATACGCGATGTCATATATATGCTAACGTGCTTAATTGCAGTTGAGAGAGACTCATTTTTAAACACTGGGCTGGAGCCCAAGGGTACAGGCCATGTATATGAGCATCTCCAATTAGGTAGTAATCTTAAAGAAAAATGGATGAGTAAGGTGTGTTAGTGGAAGACAGAAGCAGAGCATCTTAAGAAATGCAGGAACACTAGGACCAGAGATACTGTGGTGTTACACGTGTTATGTTAGCATTTTTGCTTCAGTAGTTTCTCTTGTTTCCTTGGAGATCTACCAAAAGCCAGGTTTGAGAACTCAAAAAATGAAAAAAAAAATTGATAGAGAAGAAAGAAAATCATATATTTCTAATAAAAATAAAGGAACTTTGCCTCCTTTTATATTTTTAAGATGCGATTTTTGTAAAAATTAGTTTCAGAAGTATCTGGCGCTTCCCCTTTTTAATGAACATTCTTAACATAAGTAAACAAAACAGTGCTTTCTGACGTACGTTTTACTTTTTGTTTTTAGGCTGTCATTGTGCCTGTTCACAATAGCGAATGCTGGTTAGATGAATGCCTGAAATCAGTTTGGGAGCAAGATTTTAAAGAAACCATGGAGCTGTCCATTTTTAATGATGCCAGTAAGGTATGTTTTAGACCTTACGTAAAATACTGTCCAAGTAAATGCCATCTCTGATAAGAATCTTTGGTTTGGACTGTGTTTGCTTCACCCGACAAGTTAAAATACCTGTGTCTGTGTCATCATTTTTCTAGGACAGTTCAGCTGAAATCATTGAGAAATGGAGGATCAAGTTGGAAGATGTTGGTGTTCCAGTAATCGTTGGTTGTAATGATTCGTCTCAGCCTCGAGGTGGTATGTAGCTTAATAGTGATTTTTTTTGAGAGTTAGATTGTTATGGCAGACATCTTTCCTTTCAAAAGTGTCTTTGCAGCCACTTGCATTGCAGTGGAAAATACCCCACATTGTTTTCCACAGCTGTCCATTCAGAAACTCATTCCAATTTAGAATTTGGCCCTGTTGGTTTTGGCTCTGTAGAAGTTGTTTATAAGTCCAGGAAGGAAGAACTTGGCTTAACACTTGTGCTCTGCTCTGCAAAAGAATTTTGTTTAATTGGAATATACTCAATGTTGTTAATGCTTACAGTTTTACTGCGCCTTTCTGATACCTGGTTTATCCTCAGGGAATGGCAGAAAAAGAAATCCAAAATTTCTTACATAATGATTTAAAAAGTAAATGCGTATCTTTCAGTCTTGTAGAATAGACCCTGAAATTTTTGATATCCCTTTGATGAGCAGATCAAAACAAAGGTTTCAGAAAAGTGTTGATGTGAGCCAAAAGCTCACTAAACTCTTAAGTATCTACACAAGGGGCTAAGGCGATACGTTCAGGGAGCTACCGGATAGGTGTGTGGTGTACATGCTAATGTGAATTGCGTTTACCCACTGGATTCGATAACAAACAAATCTCCCTATCAGTTTTTCTTCTGCTTGTTTTGGTTGCTTTATCTTTAGTGAGTTTTACCAGACAAGCTTGCTGAAATATAAAATATAGATAAAAGTATACTTGCCCTTTGAGGAAGGTGGTATTGAATGGCCTGGGAGTTGGAAGATCATGTCTGTGTTCTGAAGGAGGACAGGACACAACAAACAGAACAGTGTGCTTCTCTTTTCTATGGGAGCTGTATGTTCCCATCAGTCTGGATTTTGTGACAAGTAGACAGGTAGGAATTAATATTAAACTGGTTCCAAATTGGTGTCTTTTCAAGTTATCTCACTTAAGAGACACACTTTGGAAACATCTAACTGGGAAGAAATTTAGGCTTATTGGAGCCTCCTCAAGCTGATGGTCTTATGAAAAAGCTCAGTTCTGTTTCAAAAAGCTTGATTTTCATCCCTTTGTTGAAACATGCAAATAAATAGGAGTTTGTGAGCCAACTTGGTATAGGCCTCTGGCTTAATTTACTGTCATTTCTTTTGACTATAGACTTCCTCAAAGCTGTTTTTTGAACAGTTGTCAGACCTAGCAATACTGAAGTAATGCAGCATAACTGTTAGTATAAATATTTTTAGTATTCTAGTATCTCTAGCATGAATTGTTGTTTTGACAGTACACCTTGTAATATTGGCATTATTGACCTGGTGATGACAAAAGACAGCCAAGGTTTTGAGAGGGAATTTTTCTCTTTTGGGCAACTAATAAAGCTGAAGTTGAGCAATGTCAAGAATTGCCTGTATTCCTGGGAATTCATCTGTCTTCCCTTTTTACCTTCTCCAGCTGTTGGGTGATCAGTCTTCTTTCAAATCATATCTCTTAGTAGTTGATGGTCCGGAAGCTAAATAGGATGTGATTTCGTAGGAAAAAAAGTCTAAGAATAGTACTGGGGGTTGTTAATTACGGCACTCAGGAAAGCTGGTTAGTAATGTTGTTGTTTATGCCATCTTGCTATGTGTTTTCCTTTTTTTTAAAACATTTTCTGTGTATTAAGTCTTGTTCCTAATAGTGTTGTATTAATAAAATGTGTAAACTAGTTTTCAGTTTGCAAAAACATTCAGGTGAGATGTTTTGACAATAATTTATGCTAAAATTCTGAAGTCAGTTCACCTTTGCACTTTAGGAAACTGTAAGTAAAACTTAGAAAGTAAAACTAAGTTCAGGTTGTGAACTACAAGGAGTAATTTGTACCATTAAAGATATGTCAGATTAATTTTTGCTTCAACATGCATTTGTCAGTGTTGGGACAGCTGAAACCTGAACAAATCTTTAATAAATTGGGGTTGGGGGATGCAGCTGTGATCATTGTTTTAAATAATAGTATGAAATGCAAAATTCTTCTTAAAAAAAAAACAACCAAACCAAAACAACCAACAAAACCAAGAAACACCCAAAACTGAGTGTATTCGTGTGGAAGTCACTCTCAGGTCACCATTAAAATGAGGACTTTTTTTTTTTTTATGGTTGTTACATTTTAGGAGCAGGTTACTTGAAATCCATAGTATTTGTTTGCTTTCAGTGATTTACTTTTATTATGTTAAGGACTAGTTACAACTGTAAGGAGTCTTTCCTTTAAAAGAAGATGCTTTAGTACAGAAACAATGTACTAGTCAGGCTTCACATCTTCAACTATTTACACAAGATTAGGATTTATTTCTGATTCTTTTCTAACATGTAAAAGAAAGGGGGGGAGCCTAGAAAAAAAGAAGGGTCACTTGCCTAGAAAAAAGAAACCTTTTTCTTTCCAAGAGTGAGGAATGTTAATATCTCACTGAAGCTTAAGTTTTTACGGCTGTAACCATGGCAACAGGCTCTTTTCACCAAGTAAGCAGGCCATACAAAACTCAGAGACCTGGCACAAACATTTGATTTTGTTCAGTAGAGTAATATTAAAGAAATTTTTTATTCATGCCAAACACAGGATTTGCTGTGGTGAAATTATTTTTAATATCCAGTTTCTTCTACAGGGAGTTATATCTCTCTTATTAATAATTTTAAAAATATGTTTATTTTCCTTTCTTACCTCTAAAAAAAATAGCTGATATATGAAAAGCTTCAGGATAGTTTCTGTCTTAATCTTTAGAAAAAAAATATTTTCCAACATTTTCTCATAGCAAATAGGAAATACTTCATTATTTTATTTAAAGTGTATTTAAAAACGACGTGAAGTATTTTAGAAAGTTCATAGAGTAATATAATTGTGACCTTATACTTGCCTTTGAGTCTTGTTCACTTTCTTCCTACATTATTGATTCCTAGTACTTCATTATTTTCTACTGAAGGTTGTGATATTGGGGTGTACTAATGACGGCATTGGGTGGTCAGTACGGGCTGCTTACTGGCTGGGAATGCTGTATGAGTATTGATTTGTTTGAAATTGGGCAAATCTCAGATCTAGCATGTTCTTTTACCTCTTGCTTTAGTAAGGACCTCCACAGTACGAGGGTTTTGCTTGTTTGGCATGTCCAGACCTGCTAACTTGCATCAGTTGTTTCCCGCTCAAGCTGCTCATGCCAGGATTCAGCTCTGCGGTTGTGGTAGCTACTGGCTTTGCCAGCTGCTTTTTTACTGCCAATGGGAAGGAGAATAAGAGTAACTGTATATGTGAGATTAGATATTTATATGTGCATAAAAAGTCGTATGTAAATATACTGCAAGATAATAAGTCCAAGAAATCCACAGTGAAGAGAAATTGAGGTGAGGATTAAAATACTCAAAATGCATAGAAGAAAATAAGGCATTCATAAGGAAGAGCCTTTATTAGTAGTGTTCTGCTGGTAGTTGGCATAATGTTCCTTTGAGGCAGTAAGAAATGCAGTCATAAGTCTTTTTCTGTACTTGGACAACTCAGAAAACTAGTCAAGGAGTGTGTGCATTAAAACCAAGTGAACCTTTGAGCCCAGTTACATTTGTTTCCTGAGCAAACTTAAACCTCTGTCACTTAAAAAGAGTTGAGAACTACAGGTGTGCTTTTTTCAGATGCAAAATCGGGAAGTTTATGGATAATACTATTTAAAATAATCCTGCTCCACTTGATGGTGAGATTTTTCTGACTTTACTTCTCCAGTTTTCCCATTAAAGAACAACACGCACACGCACACACACACACCCAGTATTGCCTATCTTCACATCATTTGGTTTGCACGTCAGGACAATCTTTTGCTGGATTCCCTGTCTTGGTTTCATAAATAGTTTAAACAAAGCTTAAATGTTACATATACAACCAAGTGGAATTCCTATAGACTTTTCCAGAATAACACTGGATATAGCATGGTCTTTTCTCTGCCCAGGAGAAAAATTGGAAGACCAGAATAGTCTTAGGTAGACCTTGTCCACATACAAAAATGACCCCAGGTAAGCACTCCTACCTTGCAGATGTATTTCAGTGGTAAGCTGAGTTCATCTTAGCGCTGGTTGCTGCAGTCCCATCTTTACCCTTGGCTGTGTATTCCTGCTTCCATCTGCCTTTTTTTCTGGCTCTGCCATTTGTTTTACCCTCCAGTGCTGTCATCTGCTTCAGAAATTAAGATGTCAAAAAACTTTCTTCTGGTTCCTGCCTGAAATGGCTTGGTAGAAGATTCACCAGGTGCAGGGGTTTCAAAGCTAAAACACTCTAGATGCCAATGCTGTCATTTGACTGCATTTGTATTCCAGTGTGGTCTTCCATAGATGGTATAACATGTTACGGTATAAATAAGCCAGGTTAGTGCTCCTGGTACATGCATTCTTCTGCTTTGGCTCCCCTCTGCATTACATATGCTGTTACATAAATGGCACATGAAGCTTTTGTATGTGCGTGAGAAGCATAATGAAACAGAATGACTTTTTGGAGTCCTCCTGAGGACCTGGGCCCCTGACGGGAAGAACAAGTTGCCTGGCAATCTCTTCTTCTTTCTTTGCCTTTTTATGATTAGTTACTATTTGTTATGACTTAAGAAATGACTGTGTATATACAGCCAAGGGTTTTCAGCATCTGCTCTTTTCAGGGTGTTGGAATAGATGACTTTTAGAGGTCACTTCCAACCCAAGCCATTCTGTGATCTGAGGTATGGATGTGAAATGTAGGTAGCTGGACTCTTCAGGATACGCATTGCATATTACATCTTTGTGGAGGGCTAGCAAAAGTAGTCTGATTGTACTTGGTGGTAAAATTCTAACTCACAGAACTGATAATCACTCAGAGGAAACGACTGAATTTGGCACACTGCTTAAATATTCACAAATTAACTCATTTTAAATATGGAAAAACTGCATAGTTTACCTGAGACTGAATTTCATATTTCCTGTCATCTCTTCCTGACTCTAGTGAGATTTAAAAAAATACAAGGGCAAAAACTACCACATAATTTCATCTTTGTTCTCTCAACAGTTGGATTTGCTAAAAATCAAGCAGTAATTCAGAGCTCAGGAACCTATCTCTGCTTTCTGGATTCAGTAAGTTAATGCATTTTGTCTAACAGTTTTGAAAATAAAATTCTTTTGTTTTAATGTAGTTGTTGATTTGCCTTAAGCTGGTAAGTTGTTGGTTTGTGTTAAGCTGACAAGCTGTTTAATGGTGCTTGGGTGTTAAATGTGCTGCTTACTACTTACACCTCTAAAGCTATCTTCCAGCCTGTAGGAAGTCTACTGCCTTACACCATTCTTTGATGCTATTGGACCTCACAAGCTGTTGTGAGCAGGGTTGGGCAAGGTTGGTATTTAGGTGTTTTCAGGATTTTTCTTTCCCACATTATATTGATGAGAAACTAAGAGCTAATTGCTGGATTTTGATACGAAATAGGAGAGGTCTCGCCTTCCATCTTGAATTTGTTTTTCAGTCCTTTGTTGGATACCTTCTGTGAACCCATTCAGCTCCCTAACCCACAGATAGCTATCTGACTTTATGCAGCGTAGTAGGCAGCGATGGGTTTCACAAATGTGCATAGCTGATCTGAGGAATGGTGCCATGTCACTAGGATCAGGCAAGCAGAGCAGGACCTTTAAGGCTCACTGATCTCATGTAATTTCATCTGAAGATTGATTCTTTTCTCTGCATTGAAACTGAACTATGGTTTAGTGTAGTATTAGGGAGAACTGGCTGCTGGAAATGTAGGTTTTCAGGTAGGATTCAACTTTATGATTGTCTCTGCATATTAGAAAGTGTCGTGAGAGCAGGGATGTAAAATCTACAGCCTTATAACCACACAGGTTTTAATTTAGGTAATCTTTCAGTTTGCAAGGTCCATTTGATGTATCAACCAGATAGAAGGTTTTTTTTTCATTTGTGTGTTAAAATTCCGTGCATTAATCAGTGTACTGTTGCACGACATAGTTAAGTGCTGGTGTATTTCTTCTGACCCAAGGCAATGCAGCAGAAATTTCTTGTCTTGCAGCTTAAGAAATTAAGTTTTACAGGTGGCTTTCCTATCCTTTGTTCTTGCTTTTATTAAGTTGCTACTGTGTTTAGCAACACAATGTGCCTCTTAAAATTAATTTATTTGAATTTATCCTGGTTTCCCAATAACAGTTTGTTGGGTTTGGTTTTTGTTTTATAGAGCATATTTCATGTAAATATTTGTATATAAGTTTATGGAGGGTGAAGCTTTGCAATGCAGTATCTGGTACCTATAGGTATCTATAGGTATTTCAGAAACACAGTTTTGGACATCCATTGAATATGCAGAACTCACAATCCCATACACATATTAATGGTATTTGGAAAGGGTGGTTTCTCATACATCAAAAAATATGTATTTTATATCCAGTACTGAGAATCAGTTTTGGTTTCATAGACAGATTATTCTGAGAAAGTATGAGCACAAAATCCACTGCTCTGTTTTTGATCACCTGACTCACCAGATTTTAAGAGCATGTGGACGTCATAAATTATGTCATGAAGTAACTCAAGTGGTGTCAGCTTTGTTGAGATGAACGAGAAATCCAGTTCTTTTTGCTTTGCTTCAGGCAGACACAAAAGGAAGTGCTAGTTTAATTCATATGAATGATTCCGTAGATTTATTCTATGGATTACTCTGATGCTGTGAGTCAGAGAGGCTGTTTGCAAATCCAAAATTATACCTAATTTTTTTTTTTTCATTTCAGATATGTAAAGTTCAGCTTTTCCAGCCTTGGACAGATACCACACTGTATGGTGCATTCTAGTGAGTCTGTAGGATGTTACTTATGTTGACTGAAGTTAGCTGAGTGCAGGTTTGCATGCGTGAGAAACAAACCTACTCTTGTCCCATGGAGCTTCATGTCTTCTCTCTCAGATCTGTAGAGAGTAATTTACTGAGGTGAACTTTGGATTATACTTTCTTTTCAAGCCAGATGGATCTGGTTGCTTGTAAATCACAAGCAGAAAACTAGAAAATTAAATTCTTTAAATGAAATGTATTAATTTTTTTTTATAGAGATCTCTTCTGAAGTCTTAATTTGTTGTTTACCTTATGGTGTTTATACAGTATGCATCTTCCTGCTGCTGTGTTGTTTCTATTTGCTGTGTAGCTGTGAAGAATAATAGGACATTGAGGAACAAATTACAACTCTTAATTATATAAAATATAAACTGTTACATTCCTTAAGACCTACAGAAAGGTATTTGATAGACAATTTTATGACTGACAGTTTAGACAAGCTTGGAAAAAGCTACCAAGATTTTCTGTTGTATGCATTTCTATTCCTTCTATTGAGCTAGATGCTTCAAAATAGGAGACATTCTGAACTATCAGAAGCCTTGTCTTGATACAACAGAAATATTAAATGTTTGGCATTACTTAAATATGTTTTCTACTGTCTCTCCTTGTGACTACCTTTTTTTGCTGAAAACAGATAGGAGGAAGTAAAATGAATGTGGAAACTACTACAGTTCTAAAAATTGCTCAATATTTTGGCTGTGTGATAATAGCTGAAACACAGATGTTGCCAGCTGTTTAATAACTCTGCTTCTACACGCTGCCTACCTTCATTTCAGTCACCAATCCTGTATCAAGCTCTCTAGGAAGGAATGCTGACATCAGCCTTTTGGAATGTGCTGCAGTAGTGCCAGGGAACTGACCTTCAGAAGTGCAGCTGTGATTTCAGGTTTGCTGTAGGTGAATGTGGAGAGAGATGGGGCTGGGTCCGTAGTTTGTGTTCATAACATACAGGTGGATGACTACATCGTGGTTCCTTGTACATGCATTTCACTTCTCTGGGTGAAATGAATCTGTGAGCATATTTGGAAGTATTGGCTCCAGGGAGACTGTTTTGCTTGCTGTTCCAGCTGGAGTCAAGCTGCTTGTGTTATGTCTCTCAACACAGATTTGTGAGGACAACAAATTGGGAAGAAATGTGGAAAAAAGGGTTCCAGAGCTCAGAACTGTCAGAATTTGATCAGCCTATTCTAGTATGAAGTGGCAGCTGTTTGACTAATAGCTATTACGGAGGAGTTTTTTTTGTGTCTGTTGTTACAGATTTCACCTCTAAGCTACTGAGACATTTTTCCCACCAAGAAAACAAGTAGAAAAATTGAAGATACATATAAAGCTGTTCATATTTAACACGTATAGTCTCAGAATTAACTAATTACGCAAGTACATTTCATTGTTACCTTTACTCTTCAAATTGTCTGCAGTTATGGCTTTATATACCAGTTACATTTTATTGTAACCTTAGTTTGTCAGTTCTCTGGGGCGGTTACCGTCTTTGTTACACTCATTTACCCAGTTGCAGTACAGCAGGACTCTTGTACTAAAAATTCCAATTTCTGCTTTGACCTGCTGTGTTCACTGACATTCACTTAAACATGCCTATACTTGTATAAAACTGTATTCCTTTGAAAAGGAACATGCTTTCATTTCATCCTAGTAATCGCTCTGGTTTCCCATTATTTCAGGTTTAATCAGTGTGTTGTTGGAGGGTTCCTGACTGTTAAAGAAGAAATATGAAAAAGTGTCCTTTTCTGACCTGCAGTATTTCACACCCAGTCATATTCACTTGAGTCCTTGACACGCTTGTTTGAGTCCTTTGAAAGGTGCTGTTGGCAATGTATTGCTATTTCTCAGATTCTTCGGCAGTTCAAAGATGTGACCCTAAACCACGTTGCCACAGTGTCACTGCTTGCTAGTAGCTGAGAATGACATAGGGAAACAGTGAAGTTCTGTTCACCACAAGTGAGGGTGGACCACCAGAATTGGCACTCCCGTGTTTGACTTGGCAGCTGCTGACCCGTGCCGTTCCGTTTGTGAGATTTGCTTGTATGATTTAGGTTGGGAATGTTAGTTCTTAATTGCTGTGAAATTGCATGCTTTTCTTGAGTTTCAATTTCAAAAACACTTCATTGAGGGGGTGTACATAAAGGTTTGGAAGAAGGTGGTTGGACCTTAGCTGGCTGGACTTGGTAGACGTTTCAAGGACTCCAGCCGTCAAACTAGCTTTCAGTTTTAAACGTAGCTGCTTGTATTTACAGTCTCCATAACACCCTGGTTTTTGAAAGATGGGTTTCTTGTTAGTTGCCTTTAAATATTACTCTACAGGCACTAATAAACTTCTGAAATATTCTTCCTTTCTTTCAAATTAACATCTGTATAGCTTAGGAAATGAAGCCGTGACCAGACTTCACGTATTTGCTTTTAGTTGTTGCTTTAACATGCAATTCCTTGCAAATTTGATCCTCTGATTTAAAAACTGAAATAAGCTGTTGTTCAAATAGTGGGTAAATGGATGTAGTGATGAACTCCATTACCAGAAGCCCTTTCTGTTGAGAAGAGTTGTGCATGTTTCTAAATCACTAATAAGCACCAAAAATCAAACTATGAGTGCTTGAAGGCATCATTCCTTTTATTGTTCTGTAAAGAAGTGCACTCATTAAAAACAGATTAAATGCCTCTGTCTGGCATGTGAAATGTTAGTTTTCTGTTTCATAAATGAAGAAGAAACCCTTCAGAACTCGGTTGCCATAACCATATACCTGCATATACCTTCATGCATTTATTAGTTAAAGTGGGTGTTTGGAATTGACAGTGAGGATTTTCATTTTGTCTGAGTTTACTGACTCTGCTGTTGAACACCGTGTGAACTACTTGCTTCCCTTGCCTCCAGACACTCATGTACATTTTTCAGTGATCTGAGAAAGATCCAAGGTGCTCTCCAGTGTCTCCAGGAAAGCTAGATATGGAAAGGCACGTGTCTGCATTTGCTGAACAAATGCACCGAGGCAGGAGCTGCTTCAACAGCAAAAGTTTCCCAATCAGTTAATAGTGATGCTGAACTAAAAGGTTCCATAAAATGATTGTAATAAATTTTATAGTGGCGAAAGGCACTAGTCATTCAGGTGCGTAAGAACACCAAGTTTTTATGCACCTGAATGACTCCCATGTAGAGTCATTTTGTTGCCATGCTCAAGGAAAGATAGGTGCGCAATAAAGTCAGCTGCTTAAACTCTGAAGTGTTTTCTTTGTTGTCCCATTCTTTCTCAATTTAATTCAGAAGAAGAAACAGAAAAGTGGTGTTTCTTCCTATGATCCTGCAAGTACGGATGGATCATTAGGGTGCCCTGCTCAGGTGACTTATGTGGGCATTAGTGTGCATGATTCTCGTGTGTTTGATCGTGTGTGCCTTCTTTAAAAACCTGCCTTCTGGAAAATTGCCTAGGACCAGTGTGTTTGCTTTGCAGTGCTGTTGACAGGCTGATTTTTGAAGGTCCCAGGCCTTTTACTTCCCTGGTTCAAGGAGTTGAACTGAACAATAACAAAGATTTTCACTGCAGTCTGAGCAGGTGCAGGAGATGTGTGACCATTTGATGGATTGAAAGACTTTGGAGATGCCACATTGTTTCTCAGTGAGTCAACATTACTCCTGATGTTGCTACAGATTGTATTTTATGTGTAATAGCTGCAGTGGAAAGAAGGTGATGTTACTGTGAGGATGGAGTATGTCAGTGCGCTTTTTTTTTTTTTTTTTTTTTTCCCCTGGAGCACCACAATACGAAGGAATTTACAAAAGCCGGTGGTGGGGAATCTGTGATGTAAGCTTAAGGAAGCACTTCAGTACAGCGCTATCCTTAGTGTGTTGTTTTATGTGGACTTGCCATTGTTTTTAAAAAGTAGACATGTATTGTACATAGAGTTGTATGGGTTTTTTTACGTTCTGAAGTGCAAAAACTCCCCACTGTTAAGGGAAAAATGATGAAGTTACCACTGTGGAGTTCAGCATGGTCCAGTCTGCTTGAAGAGGCCAGTGACTGCTTGTCATTTGAATTTATACCCAATGACTTAAGAAACACATACTGAAACAAGAACAGCTTTGAGTGATAATCTTAAGCATAGTCTACTGATTTAGTTTTCCTTTTCTTCAGCTAAACATACGAGTAAAGTAAAACAAACCAATTAGCTCAGTATAAATTGTGCGTGTTTTCATAAAGAAGCGTGCCTCTGGTTGGAAGGAAAACAACACAGCTGATAGTTGTGTGACTGGCTTTTCTGATGTGGCAGCATCTGTGAGTGGTGTGGAACTTGCCAGGAGCAAGGCGGCTCTCTGCAGAAGGGGTGTGTTTGATAGGGACACAAGCAGGCAGAATGCCCGTCCATCTGAAGGGTGGTGGAAGTCACGGCCCCCCACTGGCAGAAACACATCTGGGCTGGTTTAGAAATCCCTGCTGGCTTCTCATGTGGGATAAAGTCCTTTTCATTCTCCCAGCTTTCAGCAACTTGTTTTCCTACTCAGAATGCATGTTGGAGAATAGGAAGCATGTTTGTAATCAACGACATTCCTATAAATTCTGGGTGGAGTGTCTGAAATAGGTTTCTATTTATGGTGCTTTATTTCTTGCTGTTTACCTGCTTGTTTGGCCTTGTTTGCGTTGTACGTATTTTGATGACCGTAGACCCAGCTATTACCTAAGATTTTACTTAATTTTTCTACAGAGTTTGGTGAGTGAGGTTCCGTGAAACAGATCTGCTTACAGATTCTTTTTATTTAGCTATCTTATTGCAAGTGTATGCTTACTGAAGGCATACATTTATCTAGCGTTTATTTTATAGCAGTTCTTTGCGTTCTTTCAGTAGGGGAAATCTCTTCATCCAGTCTGCCTTTTATCTGCTAGGAGACAGCTATTGGAGACTTGTTAAGAGAAAAAATTGAATTTCAGTGGAAACTTCTTTTAAACTTGCATTTTAAAGAATTACATATTCATTGTAATTCACACATCTTCTCTGCTTGCACCTGTGAGACAGAACCAAACTAAATATGCTTCCTTTTCTGATACAGCAGCTACATTCAGATATATACCTTTTCTTTTTTTTTTTTGTCTGACATGTCATGAGTGAAAAATAATATGGAAAGTATTTGTCTAGTTATTGAGTTCGTTTTCCCAGTCTTGAACAAAAAAGATGACCAAACTCTGTTGACTGTAGAAACGAAAGTCTGCCAACACAGTTGCTGAATTCAGTATCATAAATACAACAGTTTTGATAGAAAAAATTGTGATTACATAATGTACAACTGGATAAAATAACATCTTAGTGGTCTAATACTAAAACTCGATAAACTTCTGCAGTGCGTGATTGGGCATCTCTCTCCTGCCAGTGGCCTATAAAAATTTTTCAAGTGCTCTTATTTTGTCGAACAGTCTTTTTGTACTCATTAGGACTTAATTTGGTTTTCAAATACAGAATACAACCATATCGCTTAAAATTATTTCTGTAAAAATATATATCTTTTCCACTTTGACTGGGCAGGTAACTACAATAATAATGAATTTGTAAGGTGCTGGATTTGCAGCTAGCTTTCTTTTACAGTTGCCCAGCCTGAGTTTTAAAAGCTAAATGACTATGTGACTCAGTTTTGTCTGGGATGTAATTTGTATTTTGTGCTGTTCTTCCTCTTGGCCTACTTGCTTCATTATTTTATTTGGGATTATGTCCTAAACTACTATGGTCTTTGCTTGCTTGCTTGCTATCTCCTTCCCTGAAGCTGGAAAATATTGCCGAACTATATAGCAGCACACTGTATGGGTCAAACTGTTAATTAAAAATAAACAAACAAAAAAAGCCCAAAACAAAAAAAGACCCCAGAGACAAAATTCTTTTTAAAAAACTCTTTAAAAGGTAGTTCAGGATAAGAGTTCATCGAGTTTTCCAGTAATAGAGACCAAAAATGTGTTTAAATAAAAAAAAAAAAAGGGCATTGTGAATGTTTTGTGGTTATAGTGCCCCCTCTTTAGCTGGATTTTACAGAATTCTGATGATAGCCTAAAACCCAAATCTATAGACTCATTAGTTTTGCCAGTAACATCAAAACGGTGTTTTGTTAGTGGGAACTAGACCTTTCCTGTCAAGTTGTCTGCTTATACAAGTATCACATTGACCTCTTTGGTGAATGGGCTATTTGAATTTCGTTTGAATGCTTTCTATGCTGATGTAACCTTTTTAAATCCAGTAGATTACTTTTCATCTTTGTGAATGTATGAGTTCTGCTGAATTTGTCTCTGTAGATCAAGATCATAAACAGTGGCACCTTTTACTGTAAGAGATAACAGTAACACTGTTGCAGGTGTTGTAATGCCTTGCTTTTTGGTAGATTTCTTGTGCATTCTTTTTTTTTTTTTAGGGATTTAACAAGAAATCTAAGTAATTCTGAAAGGAATAAACAGAGCTCAGTTAAAATACCCAAGTATTTCTTAAAGGAGCAAGCAAAGCTCAGTTAAAATATATCTTCTGTTGTTATTATGAATACCAGGTCTTAATTTTAAAAAAATCATCTCTGTATTTGGTGTAAAGCAATATGATTATGGTTCTTATGGGAAATAGGGTAAAAGTTTTCTTGCACATTTGCTTGATACAGTACCTGAATTCTGGTGACTTACTGGTAAAGTGGATTTAATGGTAAACAATATAACTGGTTTTGAAGTAACTGATGTATAGACAGTGACAAATCAGAAGGGACTCTTTCACTCTATTGGTTTGGCAAATCAGTAACATCTCTTATGGTTGTTACTAAATATATCTTAAAGACAAAATAGAGAAAAATGCTTTTGACAATGTATTCCTCCTGTCTTTTATAAACTTGCATGTGATAAGGGTCGGTGTTATTATTCCTTTGTTTCATCTTTAACTTTGAATTGTATGAAATAGTTGGATCTACTTCTAAAACTTGCTTAATCCTTGTGTTTTTGATCAATCTATAGCATTACCTTTATAGCAAGGTCATTCAACCTTCTAAGCTCTAGATATTTAAGGACTATGTTGCCATTTATTTGACTGAAAGTTTTAAAGCGAAAGTTGTTGGAAATTCCTTTTTTTTTTTTTCCCTGGCTTTTGTAGGAATTTCCTTAGAATTATTTTAATGTGAAGTACTGTTAAAAGAATGGATGTAGAACAAGGTTCCTTTGAATTATGTTTGTCTGATAAGGTAGGGCCATTGGAAATTCTCTAAGGAGAAATAGGTTGTGTTAGCTTTAACCGACGTAGAAGAAAGACTAAATTGACCTTTTAAAAGGGAAGAAATGTGACACCAAAATGGAAAATAATATAGCTAGAAACCTCAGGATTCTAAATCTGGGGAAGAAAAATCGTGTTAACAGTCAGGCATTTTAACAGACTTCAAAGATTTTTGAAGCCAGTGTCAATGCTGATGAATTTTGAGTGTGGGTTTTCCATTCTTTTTTTTCTTTAGAATTTTATCATTTCACAAATACTAGTTTTGGTGCTCATGAAATATGACACATTGGTAGATCTAGAGACTGAAGGCTTTTCCTTATCAATGAAACTAGGTATAGCCAGGCTACAAAGAAAATTTCCTTGTACTGCTAGAATGTCTCAAATCTCATGCTTCTAATCGAGGTTGGTTCCTTGTCCACACACGCTACCGGTACTGCTATTTGAGTGTGTTGATAAAGAGGGGGTGAGCTTCTTTAGAAATGTAAAATGTGTGTGTAAGATACATGTTGAGATCACAACACGGTTGTCAGGTAGTAGTTTTGATTACTTCCAATTTGAACACAATTAAGTTTAATCCACTGAAAGTGGAAATTCTCTTAATATTTGTTCCATTTGTGTTTCTGACTGCAAGCCAGTAGAATTATGTTAATGTAACAGCATATCCTAATGTGTGTCTGAGTACTGTACTGTGACCCTTTTTATGCTCAGTAACAGTGTGCTATTTATTGCAGGATGATGTGATGATGCCACAGCGGGTTAGACTGCAACACGAAGCTGCCATTCAACACCCAAACAGTGTGAGTACTTTTTTCTTGTGTGTATTTGTGTGTTTTATTTTACAGAGTTCCGGATACATCTTTAAAAGGATATGAAAACTTCACAGTAGGGCTGGTGGAGGCATAGCAATGACCAGTGTATTCTTTTCCTTTTATTTTTAACCCTGGCACTGAATAGTATCTTTGATTGAACTTCTTTTCTTCCATTTATTTTCTCTGTTTAGTAAATCAAATGTTGTTATGACAGTGATACTCTTTCAGATAAGTATACAGGTTTTGCTAATGTGTATGTAATCTCAGTGAGAATGCCTCTTTTGTGTAGCCTTACTAAGTAATGTGAAAAGCTGCAAAGGATTGGCTACAGCTATGGTTTATCTGTTTTCAATATTTAAGAAACTGTAAACTGTAAGGAATGTATGGATTGTTATCATTAATAAACTGGCCTGTGGTTAAATTGTTGTTTCTCCCAGTATCTGCCTGCAAAAGAAAACATTATTAGAATTCTTTATCCTTGTGACATAAACTCTCAAAAACAGTGAGTGAGAGAGAGTTGTTTTATGATCTACGTGATTTTGATTTTAAATAAATTTCTGTGATTAGGGACAGTACCCTTTAGAGAAAGTTCGTGTGTATGTTCTATACATAGTTAATGTATCTATTCTTACCTGAAGATAGTCAATATAAATAATTTGTTACAGCAATTACTTTGTCAATGTCATTGACATAGATCCTCCTTTATAAGATTGAAAACTGAGTTTGTATCCCAGTCAGCAGTGTTAGCAAAAATAGGCTTAATTGTTTTCACATCTCTAACAGTTTCTCTTGTGAGATTTATTTCAAAGTGCAAAAGGTTTCTGGAAAGGAAAGGTCAAATGACTTGATCTATCAAGAAGGTATTTCCTGCAGGCCTCAGAACAAAATAGATAGTTTTAGGATTATCACTCTCTTGGAATTAAAATCCTTTTGAACTTCTCCTGTGCAACACACTTGCTTCAAAGTAGAGATTATTGCGGTTGTTTCAGCTGGGGAATGTCTGCCAAACAACCTGCTGTTTAGTGGTGGGATGTGTACCTGCTCATCACACCACCTGCATCGGGTCTCTTATGAAATCTGATAATCCTTACAATGCTATTTATCAAATTATAGTTTTAGTAGTACCTGAGTAGCAGTTAACCTAGTTCATATTATGAACGTAATGAAGTGATAGCTCGAAAGTTGTTTTTGTTCTGATATGAATCAGTTAATGTAATTCTGCTGTAAAATGTCAAAGAACCGGAGAGGCAAGTTGATCCAGTCAGCTTGTTTTATGGAAACCGGTTAAAAGCTATCATATTTCCTGCCTTTTATGACTTCTATATCTGTATATTAAGACTCTTAAAAAATTAGATTAATTTCAACTAAACAGCTTGTAGTCTGTTTAGAAAACACTCGAATTGTTTTGTTTCTATTCTGTTGTACTTTAGTGCCGACCAACATTCAGTATGAATTAGAGCTGAGTAAGTAGTAATGAGAGCCTGAGTAGTCTTAGGGTATGTCTTTATGGTATAGTCAAAGCAACACAAACTTGTTTTTCCCATGCTCTAATCTGAACTAGGGGTCCAGTTTTAGTGTGGTACTACTGGTCTGTTTGCAAAGCCTAACTTGATCTTGGTGTTTACTAAATAAATAGCCGAATCAGTCTGATTTAGCATGAGAAACAAGGGTTTCCATCTTGTACCTAAAATCTGCGATTTAGGAAAGTGTAAAAATTCTCAGAAATGAATGGAGAGAAGGACCTGAGATTTTAAACCTTAAGAAAAATAGTAGATGTGTGTGTGCTGCACATACGGCATCGACATAGTCCATCTGGGTAGAGTCTGTCTCATGCCGTCACTTCCTCTCAACTTTCTACTGAATCAGAGGGTTTCTTTGCAGCTTTTGGAGCAGTGACCTTGGGTTTCCTTCTTTTCCTTTTCTTTAAACTTCTGCAGTTTTATTTTCTATTATTCCTTGCCTTGTTCTGTTGCCTTTTAGGTGTAAGGGTTTTCCTCCTTTGTTCTTGAACATTACAAAGGCAAAAATGAATCTGCGATTGGTTTGAATGGAACATGTTTTTTCCATTTTACAGGTATAGAAGATATTTGTAATGCCTGTGTGAAGTACACCTTCTGGGTTGATGTATTTTACAGACCTCTAATCCAGAGGCCTGAAAGAGAAATGGGAACATCTGTTCTTGATGAGAAAATAGATCAGTTTGGTCCAGAGCTCCCCAGTAGTTCTGACACAACTTGAACTACTTTGAGAAAAGAAAAGTTGACCTTCTGGCCACAAATCTACTGACCAGTGTCAGGGTGGACTGTTTTTCTTAAAAGAATGATCTCTCTACTCTCCTCAGGGTAATTACGTCATTCATTTTACTGACGCCAGGAGATGGTTGGGGATGTTAGAATAAAGTTCTGTTCTGTATTTGAAGTTCTGACTCTGTCTTCAGTCAGGATGATAAGCCAGAGACTGGGGGGGTGGGGTTGGTGGGCATTGGGCTTAAAGCAGAAGCTTGAGAAATGCCTGTGAAGCAGTGAGCTTTTTTGGTTTGTTCCTGAAATTCTAATTTGCAGACTTGGACTTTCCACTGTTTTGCAACTACTTCTGACCTGGATTTTTGACTATGTAGTCTCAGTGTACTTGCAGAAATTTTGTTCCTAATCCTAGTTTTGCCAGTTATTACTGAGAGCCAGAATTCCCAGTGAGCTCTAATACTGGAGGCTTCAGTCTACTGGCTGAATCTATAGATTTACAGGTAAGAAAAGTCTCCAACTTTCTCCACCAAAAGAAATCTTCTCCGTGTTCCTGACTAATCCCTGAGGTTCTTCCTTTTCCCGTTGTTCTTGAATGCAGGTTGCCTTACCCTTACTTGAGGCCTGGTTGCTAAACAGTGGAACAAAAGATAACAGATGCCTTTAGAATGACTGTCCAACCAGTTGTTCTTCAGTGAAACTGGTGGCTCTATTCCTGAAAAAGCAAGGGGTTTGCCCCAGGTTTGGGTATTGGAATATGACTTGGGTAACACTGCAGCAGCACTTTACTTCCTGTATCACAGACTACTTAATCATGCTTTACAGAGCAAGACAAAATTCATCTCTACTCTCTTGGACTATTCTTTTCTTGGATGCTTGTGTTTAAAAATGTCTTGTGGGATGGAATGGTTCTGTCATCAGTAACTTTTAGAGTAGAGAATTTTGGATCTCAAAAGAAAAATTACTAATACATTGGGCTTGTTCAGCCTGGAGAAGAGGAGGCTCTGGGGAGACCTTATAGCACCTTCCAGTACCTGAAGGGGCTACAAGGAAGCTGGGGGGGACTTTTTACAAGAGCAGGGCGTGACAGGACAAGGGGTAATGGGTTTAAATTGAAAGTGGGGAGGTTTAGATTAGATATCAGGAAGAAGTTCTTCCAGGAGAGGGTGGGGAGGCACTGGGACAGGTTGCCCAGAGAAGCCGTGGATGCCCCATCCCTGGAAGTGTCCAAGACCAGGCTGGATGAGGCTTGGAGCAACCTGGTCTAGTGGAAGGTGTCCCTGCCCATGGCAGGGGGGCTGGGACTAGATGATCTTTAAGGTCCCTTCCAACCCAAACCATTCTATGATTCTATGATTTCATTAAATGTAGCTCTCCAGAACTTCTGTCATCTTGTCCTCTGGTGAGTATTTTACGTTATATCCAAGTCCTGTTGATAGGGATTCTAAAAATAGGATGCTCTTGGAAGACAGGAGTTTTTAAAACTTTGTGTATTTATACTACAAAGGTCTGCTTGCTCAGTCCAAATGCCTCCTGTTGGCAGTTTGAAAGCTTAGGGACACTGAGCTGTCTGTTGATAATGCAATAGCACCGATTGTCCAGGGCACATGTGCACTTACGTTATGCCACGTACAAGCGTGCCTTCAAATTGCTTATGCTCTAATCAGCTAAGGAATGCCTTTGTTACTAGAGAATGAATGACTGTTAATTACTAAAATTTCTGGCTTCAGTTTTTGTTTATCCCTAGAAGCAGCATCTAAACCCTTTCTTTGGAGTAAGCTAGCTGTTGCTTATATACCAACCACAAGTCACGTATGCTTTGTTGGTAGTTAATGGGTGGGAAGATTCAAGATCATGTTTCCCTAAATTCTGAAAAAATCAAACCTTTATATCTTATTTTAGTTATCCTTATGTTCTTCTGGAGGAGATCAAGCTGTGTATGTTCTAGTATTGTGTTGAACAAGGCTTCTGAGGTTGGAGTAGCCCAGGAAACGTGCAGTTTCAACATTATTTCCCAAACCACACACACCCCTTGCAGCCTTTCACATCTATGTCCCACATTTATTCTGTTATTTACTCAGCAGATTAGTACCCTTTCAGAAGTCCCAAAGCTTTTTCTTCCAAGGACAGATGAGATTGGTAGCATTATCTGCTCCCAGGTTGTCTTGTTGCAGGGTACTTGCATCAGGGCCTGCTGTGGGCCTGCCAAGATGAAATCACTGGATGTGGTTTGAGTATGCTCTTGGAGAGCTCGGGTAGGTTAGAGAGCTGCTCTGGGAAGTGCTTCATTCCTGAGATGCATAGGTGCCAAGCCACTGTGGAGGCTTTCAGGAAAGGTGCAGCACATAAAATACTCTTCCAGTTTTCCTTTTTCCTAAGGATTCCAGATATTGGAAGGAGAATAGGAGTGTGCTAAAATGATATGTACTACTGTTTACACTCAAAACCCACTGACCTTCTCAACTCTTAGAACCACGCTGAATGGTTTTGGACATCATTTTGTCCTTTTTCTTCCTCTCACCATTGTGTAATCTTGAGTATACATGTGCCCCCACAATACGACTGTGCACATGAACAGCATGTGGCTTCCAGTTTTTATATCTCTTTCTTTCTGCAGAATTGCTTAGAAAATAGCTAAGCTCTCCCTCACTGTCTCCTAAGTCTTTGCAACAGCTGGAATCAAAATGTGGACAAAGAAAGTAAAAAAAGTTACTTTGTTTTCACTGGCTCAATAAGAGCAGAATCTGT